GGGGGGGGGGAGAACGCTCCCTCCCCGCCCCCACCTTTACCCCGCGGCTGCTCATGCCCCCCCAGAGAGAGAGTCACGGCGCCACAGCCAGGTGGCAGGGAAAACAGGCAGAGAGGTTTTTACTTTCACTGGATCTCTACTCCTCACATTTACTTTTGAGTGCATTCTGCACATGGAGATTTCTAAATTAATAATAAGGAACAAAAATGCATTAGTTTGGGGGGGTTGTTGTTGGGTTTCCTTTGTTTTGCTGATGACGGTGTACCCGGGAAAAATCTGTAAAACTGAAGCAACCTGGAAATTAACATATGAACAGTAAAGGAGAAAAACCAGTTTGGGTACTTTGAAGCTAGAAAAGTGAAGCAACCTGGAAATTAGCATATGAACAGTAAAGGAGAAAAACCGGTTTGGGTACTTTGAAGCTAGACCGTAAAGAAAATAAAAAAAGTTGAGGGAACAGGGTTGGGGGGTGGGTCGGCCGCGTGGCTGGAGGCAGACGGTCTCTCGGTGGTCTCTCGGTGTGCAGAGCGGAGTCGAGTGATCCGGGCGGCGGCGCGGGGGCCGAGAAACGGCGGGCGGGACGCGGCTCTGGGCACGGAGCAGACAGCACAGCCCACCTCACATTCCGGGAGCGGCAGCCTCCGCGTCCTCTTCCTGCGGCAGGGGCGCGGCAGCAGCAGCGGCCGTGGCAGCGCTCCCCGCATTTCCTGTGGTTAGGGGCGAAGAGAAGTCCCTGCGTCGGGGCGGGGGCCTTCCAGCGGTGGCGTCTGACGCTGTTTCGGCGGTATTCGCTCGACTTTCTCCATCCAGCGGCGGCAGAGACGTGGCGGGCAGTTTGAAAATGCTGCTTTTCTGTGCTGGGGACACGTGCTTCGCGTGCAGTTTATGTTGCTATGTCGCCGCTACACAGATTGCCTGCAGCTCCGTCGGCCCTCCACCCCCCTGGGCTACAGAGTCGGCGTGGCACAGTTCAATTGCCGCGCGCCCAGCAGAGGCGGCACCGCTGTTCAAAAACGTCTCTCCTCCCCGGTAACGCAGAGACAGGATTAGTCAATGGTGGAGGGGGAGCGAG